ATAAGGAGAGTTGGTAGGATTATTTGTTGGAGGGAAAGGGCATAAGAAACTTTTAACGGGGTTTGCTTAATATTAAACTAGCAGAAAAAAGATACTTTCTACGTTATATTAAAAGAAAAAAGTAATTCTTTTTTATAAATATTTATAGTAGTTTTAGAATAAAATAGAAAAAAAAAATGAAAAGTTACTCATAAAAAAAGGTAGTTTTAGAAAGTTATGGAAATTAAATAAAGGATAAAATAATTTATGTAAAATAGAAGCTAAAAATAGTTATTGAAAGTGATATTCTTTATATATTAACATAAGAAAAGAAAAAAATAATTATTTTTATAAATAATTATAGTAGTTTTAGAATAAAATAGAAAAAAGGAAAAAAAATAAAAAGTTACTCATAAGAAAAAATAGTCTTAGAGAGTTATGAAATATAAACTAAAGATAAAAATGGAAACTAAAAGTAGTTATTAAAAGTGATATCCTCTTTATATATTAGTATTTATATATTAGCATAGAAAACAGAAAAAAAATAATTATTTTTATAAATAATTATAGTAGTTTTAGAATAATAAAAAAATGAGAAATTACTCATAAGAAAAGGTAGTTTTAGAGAGTTATGAAAAATAAACAAAGGATAAAATGATCCATGTAAAAATGAAAATCAAAAGTAATTATTAAAAGTAGTATCTCCTTTATATATTAGTATAGATATAGTGAGAAAAGTAAGTGAAAAATAAAATAAAATGGTACATTGAAAAAAAGGAGTTTTTTTTACAAAGACCACGTGTATTTTTTCTTCTAATAGAAAGTAATCCTATAAAAAATAAAAAGCAAGTACTTCAATTAGTAGTATATGTTTATTATAGATAGATAAATTCTTTATTATTTAAATAAAGGAAAAGAGAAACTTTGTTTTAGTAAATAAAATAATAAATAAAAAATTGAGATGGTGAAAATTATATAATAGTGATGGTTAATTAAAGGATTTGAGTAATTTTTAGAGCGAAATTTATATAAAAAAAATATTTAAAAAATCAGTAATTCACAGAATAATCATAAGAGTAAATTTAGACACAAAAACAGGTAAAAAAAATGTTCATTCTTTTATATATAGTATAATATAAATATAGATATATAGTATATAAATATAATGATAAGAAACTTCATTAAAAAGAAAATATATACATTTCCCCCCGTAAATGCATGTGTTTTATTCATTTGAATTTATAATTACCACACAGATAGTCATTCTTGATATTTCCATCATAACTACTTTCAAAATCATCTTAAGACTAATTTTTAATTAGTTAATTATATAAAAAAATTTATATTAATAATATATAATAATTAAATTCTATTTATTTTGGGTTACAGTTTCAGGTTCAAAATTTTTGCATATTTTTTCCTATAATTATTCTATAACTAGAAGAAAAATGAAAGAAAAAATAAAAAATAAATAAATGATGTAAGAATTATATACGAATAAAAATAAAAAATGTAATTATTTATTAATGTAAATAAATGTATAGTGTGCTAATTATTTAAAATAATTAATAAAAATTTATTAATTAGTGTTACTATATATATAATTATTTATGATTTGGTAATAATATAAAATATTTAAAATGATTTTTAATTAAATTAAAATATATTGTAAGAATAATATAACTCGCTCTGTCGTTTGTATGCCATCAGTTTCAAACAATTTTTTTTTATTACTACAACTTTAGGCTAAACGACCATTTTTAGGAGCACTTTTACAAACTATTTATCAAAATGAGGTTGTTTTGAAATACACCTTTGGGGCTATTTTCTACGGTGTTGCTATGGGCCATAGCGACACCATTGACACGTGGCAATTTTGGGACTGATTATAAGCCATGAACGCCATATTAGTAGAGTCGCTGAAACTGCTGGAGTCTCAAAAGAAATCGCTATAGCCTATAGCGACTCAATTCGGCTAAAACTGAAGTCGCTATAGCCTATAACAACACATTTATATAAATAATATAAAAAATATATTAATATAAATTTAAAAATATAAAAAATTATGTGAAGAAAAAATGAATAAAAATAACGTAATATAAGAAAAATAAAAAATAAATTTTGTTAAAAAATAATAATTAAA